AAAAAAAAAAAAACAGGGCACTGGAAAAATTTCTATTAGTATAACATAATACTTGAAATTGCAAAATGCACCAAAATAATGAATAATTATGCTGACTGCTAAGATACTTTATTTGGGACAAAGATGTCATCAAATAATATATCCTTCATGGTGATCGCAACAAGTAAAATGAAAAACTAACAGATTAATTAACAAAATGAACAAATTAATAAAAATATGCAAATTATATTATATATTTATATAACATTATAAATAAATGTTTATAGAAATATAAACTACAATATATTTATATGCATTTATATAAATAGAAATATAATTAATATGAACATATATATTAATAATTATTCATTCCCTACTAGTAAGCACAATGTGTCATTCTTACATTGGGATTAAAGAGGGTGTGAGAAATAGAGAGAGAAGGGAAAGAGGTACAAAAAGAGGATGAATTATGTTCCGCTAAAATGAGAGTGAAAGAAAACCAAAAGGGAAAGATTAGATTGGAAAGGGAAGTACATTCAGGGATCGTGCAGCTGTGCACAAACGTCAAAGTCGAGAACAGTTTATTTCAGCACTCTTTATATGATTTGTCTCTCAAATTTGAACTGAATTGAGCTGGATAATGACATTAATTCTGAACCGACTCGAGCTGAATTGCCTTCTGCAGAGCTACTTATTGACGTTCATCTGAATTAAGAACTTTTCATGACCGATGAACTTGACACATTGACAGTTATTGAACTAAATTTAGCTGAGTAATTACACTATTATCTTCTCTAGAGCTGACTTACAGCTTAAACTGCTTTTTTCATAATTAATGAATTTGACAACATTAAAGGTCCTTGCACACTGAGTCTTTTTAAAGTTTTTTCGTATTCGTCATCCTTTCCTATCAAAATGCTTGCTACGGATGCGAAAACGCAGAAAATCTAACCTGGTCCGATTTTTTTCATGACGGACGAAAGTTTCAGAGGCAGTGTGTAAATGTGATTGACACAACATGAGGTCGTATTTATTTTTTAACATGCAAAAATTTCAGACTCAGTGTGCAAAGACCTTAACACTGTCATTTTTCTGTTTTATTAATGTAAAGCTGATTTAAAACAATCTGTACTTCATAAAGCGTTATATAAATAAATGTAACCTGACTTGACACTCTAATAGGCATAACTACGGTACATAACATACATAATGTTTGACTGAGACCTGGATTCGTCCAGAAGACTCAGCAACCCCAGCTGCTCTCTCTAACAATTTCTCTTTCTCTCATGCCCCCCGTCGGGTTTGCCGGGGTGGGGGCACTGG